TGATTCCAACACAACATCATTTTGTATCGTGGAGTTAAATGTGTGAGTTGCATCATAGTGAGGTTCTTGGGTTGTGTTAAGTTCATAATTCATGGGATCATGCGGATTTCGTTACGGTTATAGTTTCGTGTTAGCTATTATGTGATAATGTGCCTTATTCAGTTCATGGTTCTTTGTGGTTATTATTTGACAACTTGATATTTTAATGCATGATTTGATTATGTGACTACTTGAGTTGAGTCGGACTATTATGCTTCGGAAATTAGAGTTAGGGTGTATGATCCCCTTTTTATTTAACGAAGTTTAGGCTTAAGGTTGTATGACCCTTCATCCTTGGGATGCCGAGCATTCTTGTATGTCCTTGGGAATTCGAATAACGCATTTACTTGTATAATCTATACCCTACTGAGCGGCAGTGGTCACCCCCTATTATACAAACATTTTTCAGGAAAGAAGTCACTTGGGACGACAATCGGAGTTGATGACATGTTTTGATTCATTTGCGTTTACATTTGTCGTATATGTAATTCAATGTATAAATTGGAGTTATATACTCAATAATGTATTTTACTTTTTTGGAATTGTAAGCCGGTATTTTAACCTTGAGTATGTATGTTTATAGTATTTCAAAACAATGTAAATGAGGTTAAGGCCCACTTTTCATTCTATGTATGTTTAAAGTTCCATTTTTGCATCCAAATGTTCAATTTTGATATTCGGGGGTATTTTCGTCCATTCTATGCTTTACCTGGAATTGACCTTATAGGCCTTAAGGATTATTTTGGGTAAGGGGAAACAATGTACCAAAGATTGAGTGTTTTTTTTTTTTTTTTTTCTTTTTTGCAAATTTGGTTACGGTTACTATTCATCCATTTTTTTTTTTTTTTTTACAATTAAACCGACCACTCCGAGACATTCTAGGGTCATTTGGGTGTATTTGGACAGTGCATATTCAATTTAGACCTTGAAAAACATTTTCGGGAGCCTACTTTCAGTCGTAGGGCAGAATGTGCAGTTACTGTTCATGCATTGGATATATTTTTCACCAGAACTTGCAATAGTCATATCTCCCTCATTTGAGATCCAAATTAGGCCATTATTGAGTCTAGACTCAAGGATTTTGAGTTAGATTTCCAATGGTATCAATCCCACTTTCAGATTCCATTTATACTGAGAGATATCTAATTTTAGTGGGACAGTGTCGGGAAATCACTTGGCCGGGAGGGGGTATTTTTGGAAAACCATGACTAAAGGTCTTTGAACCTCTTGGGATGTTATGAATTGATTAGATTCGATTGAGTACTATGATGTTTCCAATTTTCAGTATTTTTCATTTTTTTTTCAGGAATTTTGTCGCCGCAAGGGCATTTTCGTCTTTTCACGTTTTGCGTACAGGATTTTAGTTGGGTTTAATTGCATTTCATACTTTTTATTTTATATGAATAATGTAGCATTCCTATAGTGGTGCATTGCATGTATTTGTGTGGTGTGGATTATAAGATAAAAGAAAAAGGGAAAAGAAAATGATAATGGTGGGACCCACCACTATCGCATTTGTAGGCTAAAGACCACATTTTTTTTTGGTCTCTTATCTCTCACTCTCCCGTAGCTCTTTCTTCTTCCTCTCTTTTCTTCTTTATTTCATTTTGTTTTGCAACAAACTTTGAATCAAGATTACTCCTTCAATATTTGGAATTTTTAAGTGCCGTTTGCGGCAAAACAGAGAGCACAGCGAGCTCTACGCGTGTGTACCAGCGATTCCAGCTTTGAGCCTCCCTAGGAATTTCGAAATTCTTGACCCACTTTGAGGGTTTTGCACAATTAAAAGGTAGGGGTCTTTAATCCATGAAGTCTTGTGCTTTAGTGAGTTAATATACTTGAATTGTGTCTTAGAATGCTTAATTGTGTTGATTTTAATTTAAAATGACTTGATTAAGATATGTGAACATAAGTGGATGTGTATTAAATAGGTTGTATGAAAAGCATGCTTAATTTGTATAGAATCAAGCCAATTGCTTAGTTGATGTGTATATTTGCTAATTGAGTAATTGTGGTATTAAATGATCTATGTGAAGAACATGTCTATGTGTTGATTCTTTATATGCCTATCATGCTAGATTTTATTGTATGAAAACATGTTGTAGTTCATTAAAAAAATTCTTATGAATTGTGCTTTGCCAATTAAATTTTGAGTGATTGTAGAATGATAGGCATAGACATGACATTGATACATTCATGCATTGACATTGGGCATAAAAAAGGGAAGAATTGTTTTGATACGAAAAAGGGGAATTTTGGGAAAGTGTTTTGATGAAACGGTTTTATGAAAACTCGGTCGCCACGGGGTCACCAAAGGGCCGGTAGGTTAATGTAACCTAGAGGGAACTAGGGAGACTACCCTAGTGTGGTTGAGCTATCTAGGCCCCATAATGACACTGCGGAGGTACCAACGGTCATGGACAGTAGCCAATCCTTCTCTCGGCGCTGAGGTGGTACCAAAGGGGGTTACATTAACGGTTTAAAAAGTGATGGATTTGAAGGTTGAAAATGGGGAGCAACATCGACATGTATTGCATTACATTGCACCGTATTGTTTATGTTGAGATTGGATATGATGTTGTATTTTTCGGACATGGTATGATCCTGCTTCCTATTGTCCTATTTATTGTTTGGATTTACGGGGACACAAGAGACATGTCTTAAGTGTCACCTGCTGAGCAAATTGCTCACCCTACATACTTAACATTTTTCAGGTCCTAGTAAGGAATTGGCGGATGAAAATCCACCACAGTCTTGAGGGAACTTGAATGGACATTTTGGAGATATTTTGTAGAACCTGAATTCGTTTTGTAAAGCTCTTGTCATGAAGTGTATTAAGTTCATCTGGTTTGTAAATAATAGTGTAACTCGATATTGTAAACTCATTTTGATGTAAATTGTTCATGACGTAAAGTTTAAGTTTGAAACTCATGTAATTAATTTCAATGATGTTTTATATGATTACGTGTTGGTAATCTAGCCTATGACCATTAAGTAGCACATTTTTTATTGCATAGAACAAGTTTGGAGTAATTGCTGGGTCCCCATTCCAATTTCCTTCCTCCTTCAAAGTGCAGCACCTTAGTTTCAGCTCCAAGGCTCGAGGAAGCCATTTCGGTCGACCGAACCAATGGCCCATTCTCAGCATCTCCTATTTTGGTCGACCGAAAAGGGATTCAGTCGACCGAACCTTTTTCAACTCTCGGGATCTCACCTTTTGGTTGACTGAAAGGTTATTTCAATCTACCGATTCTGGAGGATCTGCTTCGGCCGACCGAAGCTTCACTTCAGTCGACCGAAGTGCTTCTGTTTAGGCCAAATGTTCTTCCTCTCCTATTTTTTTTACTCCGGGCTACTGGAATTTCATTTGAACTATTGTGGATGCAAAGTGATAGTCCTAAGGGTGGTGTATAGATACATGCCATGAAAAATTTAACGTAGTTGACCTCAGGTTCGAGTTAGGACCCGGCTAACGGTTCGGATCTCCGGGTTTGGGTCGTTACAAGTACACTTAATTTGATTTGTTTTGAGTCAAATTTCTCCACCTTGGGTAAAATGACCATTTTACTCCTAGTTCCATATTTTATCCGTTTTGATCTTAACTTTCGCTTTTGTCTTCCTATTTTGTCTTGAGACTTTTTATGAGGCTCTCTTATTTTCCTAGAGATGATACTTACCTCTAATGACCTCTTCTTTGTTTTTGTTTCGGCATTTCAGACTCGATATCAGGTTGGGTTTAGGATTACTCACTAACGCTTCGGGTTCTTGAAATTTGGGCCGTTACATATTGTGTAAAAAAAGATGGTATTTTTCTATGGTAAAAAAATTTAAACTGCGTATAATATGTTTTATTGTAAATAGTAAAGTGTTAATAATAAGTTAATCATTTTTAAAAAATAGTAGTTACAAATCTATTTATTTATTTATTTTTTCCATTTTTATGATAAATTGATACTAATAATAAAATTAAGGTAAATAATATAATTAATATTTAGATAAGAGAAAAGATAATAAAAATAATTTATTAAGAAATGACAAATTTAATGTCAAAGGGTAAAATAGTCTTTTGCGATGGGTTTGTCCTTAATTATAACAAATCAATAGTTCATGAAGTAATTTGTCATCCAAGAGAGTTATTTGCAAAAAGGACAATAGTTTAATGAGTTTTTTTTTTTATTTTTTTTTAATTTTTTAACCCTATAATATAGATGGTATGGTTAATAAATTTATTGTACTTTTAACTTGTATTGTACTATATTTTATTTTATTTTATTTTATTTTCTCTTTCACATGTTATATGAAGTATGAATTTTTATTATTTTATACTTAAATAGATTATTAGTTATTATTTTTGAAAAAAGTATAATTTGTATGAATTTATATTTATTTTATACTTAAATAGATCATTATTTATTAATTTCGTAATAAGTATAATTACTAAGCATTTTAATGATGACAACAATTCGAAATTCATGAATAGATATTTGTATTAAATAGTTTAAGAATTTAAATTAAAATACTAAAATTTATCATTATCAAATTATATTATAAAAAGTTATATATCATTGCATTTTTTTAAAAAATAATGATAATTAAAATATAATAGGCTGCGTGGGTTGTAATTTTCAAAACAGTTGTTAAGAATTTAGAGAACAGAAAACTATTTTCATACCTATAAAAGACAGATATGAAAATAGGTTTTTTTATAACTGAGTTTTTAAAAAATTAAATGAAGCATGAGTGTTTTTGTATAATTTTTTAAAGTTTTATTTGATTTATAAGTCTAAAAATAGTTTTAAAAAATTTAGAACAAGAAAGAGACAATCATCTAAAAAGATATCTTTTTATAAGTAAATTTTCAGTACAGTTTTATTTTCAGTTTACTGTTTTCAGAAAACTCTTATCATAAGAGAGGTTTTTAGGGTTAGTTGACAAATTAATTAATTTGTTACTTCCCGAAAAAAAGAAAAGAAAAGAAACCGTCTTCTGTCTCTGTCTAACTGCAAATCCAACACCTACCTTAAAAACGAGGTTTTTAGGGTTTTAGAAATCCCCCGACTCAAATTTCAAGTACAACTTTTAAACACACCTCTTTCTTCCCCAGTAATGGCTACCGATGCCCTTGCAGGTACTCTCTATATACACACATTAGATATGATGATTTAATGGTTTTCCTATTGCCTCTCTTTAGTCTCTCTACTGTTGAACTTTAATAATCTCTCTGATATTCCATAGATTTCTCTCTCTCCAGTCTCTCCAGCCTCTCTATAGTGTTGCAACTGTGTTTAATCTTGTGTTTGATCTTGTGTTTAATCTTCTGATTGCAGTGAGGCAAAAAGTTCAACTGTTTCTTAATGCTGCCCGTACTGGGAATCTTGATCTCTTCAAGAGTAAGAGTTTTTTACCAGTAAATTTCTATTAAATTGATGAAATTTTCTGTTAATTGAATTCTTTGTTTTTGGTAGATTTGGCGGAACAGCTTGATGACGGGAAGGGATTGGCACAAACCGTGGCGGATGTTAAGGATGCGAACAAACGAGGGGCTCTTCATTTTGCTGCGAGGGAAGGCAAGACTGAGGTCTGCAAGTACCTGTTGGAGGAATTGAATCTCAATGTGGATGTGAAAGATGATGATGGTATATACCTTTGATATATATATTTTTCAGTTTGTGTTTATATATCTGTGTATATATGTTAAACATCTGTACGTATATATCTTTATGTGTGTGTTGCCCTTTCTGAATCTGTGTTTTAGTTCTTCAATTGTAAACAGAATCTCTTATTTTTCTATATTTGGAATTTTGAATGTGGAATATGGATAAAGTAGCATTGTGTTGGAAAAAAAATTTACCTTTGCTGCTGAACTAGTACCTGAGTTGTGGTGATCTTGGTGAATCTGAACATTGCAAATTTAAGTGGAGAGACAGTATATTTTGTTTACGGATTATTTGACCATAATACATATTTCATTATAACTTAGTTGGGCTAGTGCAAATTTTTTTCTTGGAGGAACACTTGGATTTTGTTAGTTTGGAGTTGGTATCCAAGCATAGCAGATATTTACCCCACCCCCCCAAAAAAATGGCTTTCTTGGATCTATGTTGCAACATGTTAATTTAGATATTAATGAATCAAAGTATGCATGTCTCATGGAGAGTATCAAATTGCATGATGTATTTCATTGGAACTTTTTTTTTTTTTTTTTTCCTGAATCATTGGAACTTTCCCATGTTGAATAAAATAATTATTCCCATATATGTGTGTTCATAATCACATTAACAATAATGGCCTTTTTGTTTTTTTGCTGTTTTTTTCCATCTCTTTACCCTATAATGTGTATAGTAATACTCTATCAGGCTTGTGGAGGCATTCTAAGTGTGGGTTTGTACTACTTATGTTCCATATCATTTATTGAATCATTCTCCAACATTGTTTTTCAATACACGCGAAAATCTGTTGATGAAGATAATGGAAGTGGTCTTTGAAGAGTATAAAAGGCACGGCAAGGATACTTCCAAGGTCCAAGCCTTTGTTTGGCATGTGGGGCTTACTTGAGATTGATATTATTAAGTCTTTTCAAGTCATATACAGCTGTTGGTTGAGTTTTATGTAAGTTCTTTTATGTTTCATGGATCAAAAGTATTTTCATGACTTTTAGGTTTCTTAGACATAGCCCACGGATCTTAGTTTGGGCCATGTTATGTTATTGATGTAGGACAGTTTTATTAGGTTTCATATTATATTAAAAGATTTTATCTAACTTTGTGGATTCAAAGTTGTTATTTGTTCTTCGTGAACATCATTCATAGCATTCGCTCCGTCATTTGTATTTGTTTTACCCTGGTCTAATGACGATTGATAGTTTTGGTAGCACCCACTTTGGGAAACCATGTATACTCAAGAATGAATCAACGGTGTAGACAGTTTGTTGGTTTGGGATTGGTGGAAATAAGGTTTGTGGTTCAGTTCATGGTCGTGCTGACAATGTGTCTTGCAACCAACCAAACATGGATTGTATATCCACGTAGGCCCCCGGCCTACGCAGATTACTCCAATGACGAGGAGTTCAAATTCAGATGAGGTGCGATGGATTGACGTGATTGATGTATACATGACGAAAATTGTAGCTACCGGATAATTATGAGATTCATTAAAAGGCGCTAAAGAGGGGAGCGCTCCCAATAGAGTACACAAAACGCCGACAACGACCAACTATAGCTTTACACTATCAACAAAATTCACAAAATCCTCCACAAATTTACAAGTTTGCGCATTAATCCTTGAGAGACCAAATAGGTTATTCCCCTCCATCGAAGGACAACCTAGTCCTCTCACGCCTCAAAGGGCCTCCTAGTCCTCTCACACCACGAACTCCACCATAAACAAAGGGAGTGGGCAGTGGCCCTCCAAGCATCTCTGGCTCGACTATCCACTATAATTTGCTTCTGGCAAAGTTGATAGGGTCAAACAATCCCAAGAAAAGAAGGGTTCTGAGTATGCTATTACAAGCAGGGATAACTATATCAATGCCGAGTCTGAGGAAGCAGATCCTACCAGTTTTAGGATCAGGTTTCTGTATTATTTGTGAAATGGTACCAGGTATCTGAACTTCATGGTACAAATGATGTATTTTGTACTCACTTTATTTCACAGTTGGAGCAAAGTGGATGTCGTAACGAGGATGATGAGTCAGAAGATGATTTTTTTTTTCTTGGGTTGCCTAGACTAAGTCAAAGACATGATGCCATATTCGTTTTTGCGGAGTGTTTTTCGAAAAAGGCACACTACATCTCTTATTCTAAGACTTTCGATGTTGTCAACAATGCCAAACTTCTTTCCCAAGAAGTTGTTCAGCTTCATGGGTTGCACAACAGTACAACACCATTGTTTCTGATCAAGATGTGAACTTTATGAGTTATTTTTCACCATTATGGAAGTTGCTGAATACAAGGCTGAAATTTTCTTCTTTTCACCCACTAACTGATGGCCAAACCGATGTCATTAATTGCAGCTTGGGTGACTTGCTTCATTATTTTATTGGTGACCATATTACTAGCTGGGACCAGATTCTTCCTGTGGCTGAATTTGCGTACAACACTTCTGTAAACAAGACCATTGGGCGCAACCCCTTCGAAATTGTGACAGGTTTACATCCTAGGAAGCCAATTGATTTAGTCCCTTTACCAATTGAGGTGCATCAGAAGGTGATGCTTTTAGTAAGCATCTCCAGGACATTCATGCTGAAGTTCAAAGGAAGATTGCAATAAGCAATGAACTTTTGTTGTAGGGCACTGAATTTACGAATTGGAAATCTCTTCCACCAGAAAAGACCTTTTTTACTTTAATTAACTTGAAAGTAGTTTAGTTTTGCTGCAAGTTTAACTTGTGTTGCATTGCTACCATGAAACATTACTACACTTCTTGACTTTTGATACCATACTGCAGGTTCCATAGTGTGGTGAACTTTTGTTGTAGGGCACTGAATTTACGAATTGGAAAACTTCTGCCCATTCTTCCTTCCTTTTTTAGTTGGCAAATTAAAATAATATTAAGGATTGGAACCTAATAAATGTTGACTTTTGGGGGGAAAAGGGGCAATGGACATAAGATATAAAGAATACAACATATGAAAGAAATAGAATAGGCGATAGAAATTTTCTCCACCGAGTGGTTCAAGGCATAACATTGGGTTTAGTTTACCGAGGGTCTGAATCTAACAGGGGATTGTGACTTTTAAAGATGGTATTTTATTAATTTTGCTTTATTGGTAAATAAAAAAGCAACCTTGTGCTGTTAAAGAGTACAACATATGAAAGAAATAGAATAGGCGATAGAAATTTTCTCCACCGAGTGGTTCAAGGCGTAACATTGGGTTTAGTTTACCGAGGGTTCGAATCTAACAGGGGATTGTGACTTTTAAAGATAGTATTTTATTAATTTTGCTTTATTGGTGAAAAAGAAAGCAGCCTTGTGCTGTTAATCACATAATTACAATTTATGTGAGCTCAAAAAGCCTATCCCATTTTGTTAAGGTGGTGCAGTCCGAAAAGGCTAATTAGTTGGAAGTTGTGTATATATTGCGCAATGGAGATTGTAGCCACAGAAACAAATGTTGCTTTTTCAATTTTATCAAACCTCTTCTTGTGAAATTCCAGTAAAAATCCTAGATCTTCTTTTATGATGTCTTATTAAGTTTATAGAAGAAGGTAGTGAATCCATTGGGTTTTGAGTTTCTGAGTTCACCTAATTAGTCTACTGCTTGGTAATCCTTTGGCCAGTCTTCTTTCTCCAAATCTCTTCTTGTTGTTAATGAAGTTTGTTCTTGTGATTTAAATAATCTATATATTATTTCATAGATATTTTATCATTAATTAGATTGCAATTTTTTTGCATTACTTAAGTAGCATATAAAAGCACTTATACTTTGGTTAATGTGTTGTGATCATACAATAAGGCTGCTTTTGGTTATGTGTTGAAACCTCTGTTGTTTTACAGGCGAGACTCCTCTAATTCATTCTGCTCGGCAAGGACATACTGCAACTGCCAAATACCTGATTGAGTGTGGTGCCAATCATGCTATACCCAGTGAACTCGGTGCCACGGCACTGCATCATGCTGCTGGATTAGGTTTGCTGTTTTACCCCCCGAGAGCATCTATTAGATAATTTTTTCACTTTTTCCCTCTACATTTGAACAACTGTCCCACTTGAATTTCTCTCTCATAAAAATAATATCCTTTTTGTTTCGGCTGGTTGTAGGAATGACTTGGTATAAGAAGTGTATATCGATGATCTCATATTGTTTTGAATATTAGAAACCTTACCTTTGAACTTTTAAAGACACGTGTATATGTTGTTTAAATTTATATTTCTTGTTTTAGATGTTATTTTTTCTTTAAATACAAATTTTAAGTGAGAAGGAGCAGAAGACTATATGTTTTAATTATCTAGGTAGTCATTTGAATTCTTTAATGGAATTGTATGAGTTCAATATAATTCAGGAATTAGATGTAGGGAACTACTAAAAAGTGGTGAGGGTGCTATGGCTGATATTTTACAGGGCAGGTCTAACACCATTATTTGCATTGTGCTATTCTTGCCTGGCCTGGTTTGGTATTGGGCCTAAATCTAGAGTCTGCTGGCCTGATAGTACTTGTAATTTTAATATTTTGCATCTGACAGCAAATCAAGGATTTTGTACTTGTGTAGTGTTCTGATTTTCTTTAAGGGGGGTTTGGTTAAAATGAATGCTTTGAAATCTATGTAATTTGAAATCCCTGGATTCACAAAATTCTTTGTTTGGATAAAAATTTCTAAATCCAGGTACTTCTTATGTAATTTGATAAGAAAATAGAATTTTATTTCGTCATTCATATTCAGCATAAAGTTCTAATGGAATTCTTTGTCATGGTCCTTTAAGAAAATAGCCATAAAAAATTTATCATGCATGTTTTCTTTTTCTTTTTTTAATATTTTTTATCATGCATGTTTGATGTAGCCAAAGTAAATGTTAATTGATAGAAAGTTAAAGGATCTGAAAGAATATATATAGTCATGTGAAACCCTCCACTGGATTCACATAACTTAAGTAATTGAAAGAAAGAAATACCCAAAAAAAGAAAAAAGAAAAAGAAAGACAGTGACAAAAGGAATCCTTAGACAGCATTGAGAGGGAGATGCATAATTTTAATCTGCCACGTGAACTAAGGAACCTATTGATTTTAAATATTTTGATGGATAGGACAGTAATCCTAGACTCAAAAGTAACAGTATGCGAAGATTCGAATTGGACCTAGATAAAGAAAGAACTTTAACCAAATAAAGAAAAGTAACAGTATGTCTAGGTTTTGAAAACTAAATAAAGAACTTTAACCAAAGTCAAAATTTCAATCTATGAAGCATTGATTTAACATCGTCATTCTGAATGATTTTTCTATGAAAATGATTGTTTCACTTTTGACCATGGAATTAAATGTATTTCAGTCACAGCACAAATTTCAAACCAATCCTCCATTATTTATCTGTTTTCAGATCCCACTTTTAATGTAGTTCATGCTTTCTTTCAGGAGACATTGAGTTGCTGAGGTTCTTACTTTCCAAAGGTGTAAACGTTGATTCACAAAGTGATGCTGGTACTCCTCTGATTTGGGCTGCTGGTCATGACCAACCAGATGCGGTGAAACTTTTGCTAGAGCACCACGCTGATGTAAACATGTCTTTTCTTTATTTATCATTTTTTTTTTTTTTCATTTACATATATATGCAGAAATTTATTATACTCCTTGGATCTTTCTTCATATGGGCAAGCTTTGTCACCGCCTATTTGAACCTTATCTTTGAAACTTTGTGGGACCACTTACTATTATATTCTTCTTTGTGTTCTACTATTCAATATTTATCACTTATCTGTTGACCCTTGTAATGTTGTCAGTATGATGACCTTTCAAGTGCCTTGTGTGGATCCCAGTTACAGGTTGGGCTTGTGTACCTAATTCATGCTCATGTTTTTATTTCACTGGATTGCCAAATGAGAAACCATCAAACAGTACATCGCACTGTCTTGTAGTATAGATAACGACCATTGAGATCATTTATGTCACAATGTCTCACCATTTCAAATCTGGCAATAGCACCCGGATCCAACATATACTCAATTAGTGGAATAGGTTTTTACAAATTGCTATCGTGGTTGGATTGTTTAAACAATTTTGCTCATACAAATAACAATGCAGCCAAAAAAGTTAAAAAAAAAAAAAAAATTACAAGTTGCAGACATGTTAAAAGCATTACTGTCCTCCAAACTTTTACCGTAATAGTTAGGAACACATGGGAATCATGTGTGAAAAAATATAGAATGTATCGTGGTTCCAAAGGTGTAAACGTTGATTCACAAAGTGATGCTGGTACTCCTCTGATTTGGGCTGCTGGTCATGACCAACCAGATGCGGTGAAACTTTTGCTAGAGCACCACGCTGATGTAAACATGTCTTTTCTTTATTTATCAATTTTTTTTTTTTTTTTTTTTTTTTTTTTCATCTACATATATATGCAGAAATTTATTATACTCCTTGGATCTTTCTTCATATGGGCAAGCTTTGTCACCGCCTATTTGAACCTTATCTTTGAAACTTTGTGAGACCACTTACTATTATATTCTTGTTTGTGTTCTACTATTCAATATTTATCACTTATCTGTTGACCCTTGTAATGTTGTCATTATGATGACCTTTCAAGTGCCTTGTGTGGATCCCAGTTACAGGTTGGGCTTGTGTACCTAATTCATGCTCATGTTTTTATTTCACTGGATTGCCAAATGAGAAACCATCAAACAGTACATCGCACTGTCTTGTAGTATAGATGATGACCGTTGAGATCATTTATGTCACCATGTCTCACCATTTCAATTCTGGCAATAGCACCCGGATCCAACATATACTCAATTAGTGGAATAGGTTTTTACAAATTGCTATCGTGGTTGGATTGTTGAAACAATTTTGCTCATACAAACAACAATGCAGCCAAAAAAGTGGCAAAAAAAAAAAAAAAAAAAAAAAAAGTTACAAGTTGCAGACATCTTAAGCATTACTGTCCTCCAAACTTTTACCGTAATAGTTAGGAACACATGGGAATCATGTGTGAAAAAATATAGACCAAATGTATTTAATGACAATACAAGTCACTTTGGAGGGTTTACACCCTCTTCAATGGTGCCTCTTCATAAATACTATACAAGTATCTCTTATCATCAAGGGGATTGGGATCCACCATCTTAAGGGATTGTATGGATTTGGTGCACTTGTTCGTTGTGTGAGCTAGTATAGATTCCTTAAATTGTGCTCTGAATCCTTTCAATGTTGAGATGCCACACTATGCTTGGTTGTGCTATCATATATAAAGGGATCGTATGGATTTGGTGCACTTGTTCTTTGTGTGAGCTAGTATAGATTCCTTAAATTGTGCTCTGAATCCTTTCAATACTGAGATGCCACACTGTGCTCGGTTGTGCTATAATATAAAGGCATGCAAAGGGTTCTATATTAGGAGCCAAATGAAAAAGAAAAACATGTAGTTACATGCTGTAGGTACATGTTATACTCTAAGAATCATTTCATAGACGACAATTTTTGCTTAAAAAGTTAACCTGTGGACTTTTCTGGAAGTCCACAATTAAACAGAAGATACTGATAATAATTTTAGCTACACCAACTTTTCAGCGCATATCTTGTATATATCCAATTCCTGATCTTTACACTTTTTTCTTTTGATGTGAGTAATTGTCACTCATCCATCTCTTTATGATGTTGTTATTGTGCAAACTTTTACTTATTGATTTTCTATTTTCCTTTACATCTGCTTGCTGAGTGTTGGTTGATAACAAGAATAGAAAAATCTTTTCTTGTTTTGAGGTACTTGTCTTTTTATTGTAATATATTTCTTATCTTAATTGTTTTGCAGCCTAATGTAGAAACTGATGATGATATCACTCCGCTATTGTCATCTGTAGCTGCAGCTTCACTGCCCTGCTTAGAGCTGTTGATTCAGGTCATAATTTTCTGAGTACTCTTTGATTCCTTGGCTGTTCACTGGCATGCTTTATTCCCTACGTTGTAGCTCATTAGTATTCTGTCTATATGCTAAATGGCTTGCTTACAATTTCTACATAACAGATTTGCTGAATAGATGCAATTTCCTTTTATTTTTGTTTTTCCGTACTTTAATTGCATTATTGATGCACCTACTTATATTTGATTTGTTGTGGAAAATTGCTTTCAATCATATTTACTTATTTGCAACACTAATTTGAACCACATAACTTGTGCTGGTGCTGTGGAGTGGCAATTTTGAGATAGAGTAAGGCTTCCATGAAGTGCAGCAGTTCATGGCAGTTTTCATGAACTTTCCTTTAAATTAGCACATTTTGAGTGCAAAAAGTCGTGCACAGATTACATCATCACATTGCTCGTATTAAAATGGTCATGCCATAAAAAAAAGTGATGTCAAAGTACTTCAAAGTAAATTCATTTGAGCTGGTTAAAAATGGAACTCTTCTGCACTATTTGGTAAGAAGGATGAAAAAATGGGTGAAAGGGAAGGTATCTTCCTCCCTTTTTGTTTGGTTAAGTGGAAGGAATAGTAGAAGGATGGATATGGTGAGTCTGGTGACACCTTTTTTTGTTTGATTAGAAGGGAAGGAGAGATTTTTACTATTATACGCTCATTATATAACCTTGATCAAAATTAATTAAGGGCAATAATGTCACTTCACATTATACATAACAATAATCATTCTCTTCCATCCAATTTTGAGGGGATAAAAATTTATGGGTGTGGAGAGCTGGCTCATCCAGCATCTCTCTTCCATCCATCCTTCCCTTCCCTCTTGTTTTCCCTCCTACCAAACAACAAAAACTTGTTCTTTCCCTTCATCATTCCCTCCTACCAAACGGAGCATTAGTTTGGTCAAATTTGGGCAAAAGAAGAATATGAAGTTTCATTGAAGTTTTTTTTTATAAGAATTTTTTTTTTGATTTTATAATCCTTGGTTTCTTTCAAATGATCAGGTCTGTGTCTCGAAATTTGACATAATCTGGGTAAAAGAATGGAGAGCTTGTGGGTGCTGTAATGAGGTGGACCTCGTTATAGCTTTTCTCTTTGAGATATATGTATATATAGATATATGTTGGTTCCTCTTGTCAGAAAGAGCTGCCAAATCGTTAATCTTATTACTTGCAAACATCTAGCGAACAGTTACCCAGTTTCTGACAAGATAATCTACCTAAGAGCATCTTTTTAGCGTTGCTTATTTCTACTCGCTCTTTCTACCTGGGTGAGATACTCCCTTTAGGCCCTCATGCAGTTACTGATAGGTAAAGTGAAAATTTTTCTTACTTACTCAGTGATTATGAAAGCTCAGTGGTCTCTGGTCTTTGACCTCGCTCACCCTGAAATATTCTGTAAGGAGGGAGAGTTGTTTCATTTTGGCTGTTTGTTCTTTTTTTTTTTTTTTTTTTCCTGAATCATTTAGCTGTTTGTTTTTTCTTTTTTCTTTTGTGGCCGAGTTATGAACTTGAAAAAATTGGTGAATACTAATCTTGATATGATCATGTAGCAAGAGGCCAAGAGATGATTGATTGGCCACAAACTTTGGTCTGCAGAATAGTGAAATACAAATTCAATTTTAGGGTTCTCTCTTCCAAAGGAAAATAGTTATGTAATTTTAATGCTAGTAACATAAATTAGTCACCTAAGTTTTTCCTTTCCACCCCCTCCCCCTTTTTGTTTCTACCCTTACAGTTGAAATGCAAAGTGTTCTAGGCTTCTTATTAGGGTTAAGAGAAGAAGAGGAGGAGAAAGAGAGAGAAATTATGTAGAATGAGATGAGAATTGTTTTTCTATCTACTCCTGTCTATTTATATTATCAGGAGACTAGTAATTACAAGAGAACCCCTGCTCCTCAGCCAATGAAAAACAATCCCCCTCAAGTTGATGCATGGATGCATCTCATGCCCAACTTGCATATAGTAGAACGAAAAGACCTACTGCTAAGACCTTTGGTGATTACATCAGCCAATTATTCCTCAGACTTCACAGAAGGCATGCAAACAATCCACTATTCAGGTTTTACCTTTTTTTTTTTTTTGACCTCTTCAGGTTTTACTTGATGAAGTGTAGATCAACTTTAATATGTTTCATTTGATTATGCTGGACATGAGGGTTATGATCAATGTTGATGGCTTCCTTGTTATCACAATACATGTTCATTGGTTGAGTGTCAGCAAATCGTAATTCCTCGATCCAAATTTTAAGCCATGTCATAGATGCCATGTGATAAGGCGTCCGTATTAAGCCTCTGCAGTAGACCTTGTTACTGCAAACTGTTTCTTGCTTCTCCATGTAAAAAGTTCCCTCCTAAGAAGGTGCAATAGATTAAGTTGATCATCTATCAACACTAACCCGCCCAATCTGCGCGTGCAAAGGCCTCAAGTTCCAAGGGACCATGATTGGAGAATAACATTCCTTTCCCCAAAGATGATTTTAGGGATCCCAGAATATGGTAAATTGCCTAATGTACAATATGAGGGTTGTGCATAAACTGACTGGTTACACCAATTGCATAGGCTATATGTGGTCAAGTATGGGAAAGGTAGATGAGTCTTCCAACAAGCCTCTGATAACTCCTTTTATCAATGTGATCACTTTCATTATCCAAAAACGATAATTAGCCTCGTTTGGTGTATTGATTGTCAGGTTTACAACCAAACATTCCAGTTTCTTCTAGAAGGTCAAGAGTGTAAAAATAACGCAGTTTGCCCGAGTCTTTGATCTCAAATACCTTGGCTAGTTAAGCCTTTCACCCAGATATTTGATTGTTGTCATCTCCAGTCACAACATACACTTCTTGTCAAGTTCTTGCTTGCTAAGCATACCGTGATTAACTTAACTCTGCTCGTATGATTGTATCTAAACTTAGTCATCACCCTGTAGAATCTGTCAAAGTTCTTGGAGACTGTTTTAGACCATAAAGTGCCTTCCTCAATTTACAAACTTTGAGTGACAACTACCAAGTTCCTTTATTATTATTTTGTTGGGAATATTTCTTTAACGATTCACTATCTCATAGAGAATTTTTTACTTCTAAATAATGTGTATGTATGTGGTTGGTCATGTATGGTACTGCACATTTTTGGTTGATACATATTATTGCACAGTATCTATTAGATTTATTTGAAGACTTTTAATAGAGACAAAGACACTATTTGCTTGCTCATTTATTCTTTAAGATGAATAATAATGTTGTTATCAGTATTCCTTGCGCAAACACGTGGGTTTGCAGGTTCCATGGTGCAAAACTGCCCCTTTTTGTTTGTCTATGATATATTGGTGTAACTTATTGTATGATTTTTGACATTGTGCTATTTCATGCCTTCAGTCCACGGTAGGTTTAACTTTGCACCTTTTATCCCTACAGGCAGGTGCTGCTGTGAATGTTACTGCAGGAGGAGCAACTCCTTTACACATCGCTGCTGATAATGGGAGCCCAGAAATTATAAATTGCTTATTAAAAGCTGGAGCTGATCCCAATGTCACTGACGAGGTGAGCATTGTGAAGCAGTTTTATCTCTCTTTGCAACTCTATTTCTTGTATATCCGTGCTCTGCATTTGCTTGTTGGAGGCTTGCTTCAGGATAAGTAAAATATATTTAGGTGTTCTTCCCACTTAAATGCCTGCCAAATTCTGTTAATGTTGTGTTTCGCCTTTTCTTTGATGTATATGCACTATTTTTGTTTGCATCCGTATATATGTATATATATGGTGCATATATATGTATATGCATATAGTCACTACTGCTTTTGTGAAGATGTTTGGAGTAACTATATTTTTCACTTTGGGTTTTAGCAATTGATTTTCTTTTTTGTATTTTTTGGACACCATTTTAATTGATCTAAATATGCAAATTTTGGAGGCTTCTCCATAATACTAAAAAATGGATGCACTGGGTGACTGTCGTAGGGATCCCCGATCAAAATGCTTCTGGTAGAAATCAGTTCATGGGGAAGTAATTTCAACATTGTTTATCATGGGCGGGGGCACCAGAGCATGTTTTTGTTATTCATGAAGTTCGACTTCCTGGCACATTTAGAAATCCACAAAAGAAAAGAGTTCAGTGTGTTTCTTACTGATTGATTATATGCTGTTTGCTTTAGAGGGTATGGATTTATGATTGCTGTTTGGTCTCATACAATTTGATAATTATTGTTTGCTTTTAGAGGGTATGCATTTATATGAAACAATGGGTTTCTGTTGGATCTGAGCTTGGACCTGAATGGATAGCTGAGAAGTTGGAATCCTCCACAGCCCTTGGTTACAAACTTACGAATGGTAGAGTTTTGGAGGAATGTTGTGGCCTGTGATTTTCTAGCAAACATCTTTTGGGTTTCCCGATGTGCTAAATTTCTGTTAGGACTTAGTGTCGTGTATAATGTTGGCAAATTTCATAATAAAAGCCAGAGTCTGTATTTAATTTGTTTGATTTTAGAGTTGAGTCGGTAAATTTTATTTATGATCAAAGGACTACTGCTAATATGAAGCCATATATCATGAAGGTCACTTGTTTATCTCAATGTAAAAAGGTAAAAATCAACCCCATAGATGGATTACTCAGCTTTTTAGGTTTGTATGTCATGCATTGGATCATATATGTGTTCAGGATAGGACTATTTCCCTAGGGCAGGAGTAGACTCGGTAGTCGCTATTTCGAGAAAGGTGTAACGATCTCGGCACTAACTCCCTCCGGGGTTCCTTCGCTGCTAGCTTCTGGGGTATGCAATTTGACGCCCACTATGCCTTCTTCAAGTGTGAATGGATTGGATGGAGGCGAAAGGGACATGCTCAATTGTTTGTTAAAATGGCTCAAGAATCAATAAATGCACTTTTTACACTTTTTGGATTGAATGGATCAATCGATCCATCAATGGAAGCGTTCTGGACAAACATTGATTAATCAACCAAGAGATGGATTGATTGACGATCGAACAGTGTTGGGGGATCAATACTTGAATTAATTTAAATCAACGGTGTCAGTAAAAAATTGGTTATTATAAATGAAAAAAGTCCAAAATAGCATGGGGTAGATGCAAATAGGCTTCCTACTGAATTCTGTCTTGCATCGCCCCTTTTTCACTCTATTGAGTGATATTATGGCGATAAATAGAGCGGAATGGAAACATAGGATTCATGTAGCCAACCCCAAGTAGTTGGAAAAAAGGTTTGATTGTTGTTTTTGTTGCACGTACGAATAACTTAAATCTTTCTTTTGGGGTGGTCGGAGTCCATTTTGTCCATTGGTCATATGGTTATTTAGTCAAACTTGCTTCACCGTCAAGTCGATTAAGGTCGTTCATTTTGATTACCTTCTCATTTTCATGACTTTCATGCAATCTTCAATCGCATTTCCCCTGGGAAATCAATATGCAAACTGACTTGGCTCACAGATGCATTATGAATCAATTGACACAACATGGTTTGATCAAGGAACATATGACATTAAGTCCCAACAAAAAAGATAGAAGAAAAGCATGAAGTAGAAACATGAAAATAAGGAAGAGGAGGATCGGGAATGTTCATCGTCGTTGTTGTTATCTTCGTCTTCTTCTTAGAACTGTAGAATTTGAACATACAAAATATTCAGCAATCTTATCTCGTAGTTTTACATATGATGTTGTCATTTCCTACAAGTAAAAAGAAAATTAATTTTCTCTGCTCCTCATTCATGTCAACATGGGATATGAACATATTAATTCTTGTAAATAATGTAATTGTTTCTAGACACAAGCATGTATTATAGTTTATTAGTCTTATAAATGATGCTTTATTGTTTTAAAAAAATGGTGATAGTCCTCTATTCTTGTGATACCTGTCAACATAAAAAATGTGAACTGTATGTCTCCTTTGTGGATATAATGGATTTTATAATATAACGGACTACTGTGTGAGAACTACATATTTGGAGTTAAACTCTTGGGATGATCAAATGTACACATGATCACAAATTGGTTCTTAAATTAAGTTACAAACTCTACGGAATCATGATCATGAATGTGCTCAAATGCAGTTGCAAATCTTGAAGGTTTAGTTTCAGTTGGTGAAAAGTCCACTAAGTGATACAAGTTATTTATGGCTTGCGTTACTCAAACGAATTTATGAATTCGGTGATAAATTTTCTTCTCATTACAGGATGGATTGAAGCCAATACAGGTTGCGGCTGCAAGAGGTAATCGGAGGGCCGTTGAGATTCTTTTTCCCTTAACATCACAATTGCAAACTGTTCCAGATTGGTGTGTTGATGGAATACTTGAACATATGCAAGCTGAAACTGGCAAAATACAGGTATTTGATAATATTTTTTCATTCATTATTTATTTACTTATACAAACTTGATTTATAGAAAAGGCTTTTCGGAATAAGGTCTCCAGCATTTCTTTTTTCTTTTTTCGGTAAGTAGCTCTCCAGCATTTTGTAAAAGCAATAGTAGAATAACTTTGTTTTTCATCAGGAAAAGTTCTACCCCTATAAAATTGGAGTGTACTGGTGCTGGAACTTCTTTTAGAATGATTCTATATGCCTCCTTGAGATGGATAGATGTCTAGATGCTCTGTTTTCTATCTTTTGGATATTTGGATAAACCATCAGTACAACAGTCACTTTACCAAATTAGTTTTGGATCAAAAGGCAAAAGTGAAAGCCTTGGTATGGATGTCATTGGAGCTTTGGCTGTGATGAAATCTACTTCAATTTCCTTCACATTGCCTGTTCCCTCTCTCTAATTGAAACAAGCCTAAACTAACTAACAATCTACTATTCACCTCCATTCCTTTTTTTTGTGCTTTCTGCCTGCTCATTTCAAATTTCAGGTTTTTTTAGTTCTTTTTCTAACTTCAGACTGAAATTTTCAGGAAGAAACAAGAAATCTAAAGGAAGATAACATATTGAAGGATGCTATCACCTCAGGGCAAGATAAGCCTCAGGTGTCATTTTTACCAGCTTTTTTTGCTTTCTGTTTGGTACTAGTATAATTTGCTTATGTCTATTGCTCTTCATTTGGATAATAAATAGATTTGGAAAAAGGGATTTTAGTTTAGATAAAAGATTGTCTATTGAAATTGGGTCTGGAATCAAAGGTGATGTTAGGTATGAGAGACATTTTGTTATGCTCCTTGTTCAATTAGAATCTTGTTGGCATGGATTTCAAAATAATTCCTTGCACCTTGTTATTTGAAGTCCTCACACATAATGCTCTCAAATGACTTCATGCATGTTAAAACTTAAATCTAAATTTAACCATTATTTCTTGAATAATTGAATCTCCTAAATCCATTAATTTTAAGTCATCCATATGGATCCTAAGCTCCTCTGTTTTTCTAATTCTGAAATATTGCACTAGGTTACGCAGTTGTCCAGATCAGACCGCCCTTTGGGCAACCAACCAACCTGGCATATCAACTTCCTGAACCATAGCTTGTCATGACTAATGTAATCACTAGCAAATTGGTGCAACTTTTTTATATTGGTTTTACATTTGCGACTTGTACCCATGAAAGATGAAGTAGCTATTTATTTGTCAATATGGTTCTATCTAATAAGGAACGCACATCATCATGGCAACAAATAGTCATTATTAATAATGTGGAACTTAAATCCCATACTAGAAAGTTGTATTCTAGTTTGTGATGTGGAACTTAAATCCCATACTAGAAAGTTGTATTCTAGTTTGTGTTTAACCTTCTCATAGATGTTTGATATCATTTTCAGGTGACGCCTGAGGCAAAGCAGAAAGCTGCAGATGCGAAAGCAAGAGCAGAGTATGCTTTCAAACAGAAGGACTATTTAATGGCTACAGATGCTTATACACAGGTACCTGTTCTGTTCATTTGGCTTTTTCACTTGTGTCTTCAATTTCTCTACTAAGTTTAATTAATTTGGTGGTGCTCATGATTGAAAGGCACAATACGGCTAGATAATAAATAAATGAGAATGTTGATAGACCATTAAGTCCTAATATCTGTAGTACTTAAAGATAAGGGAATCATTATTATAGGGGAAAACTATTGAGTATGTACTTTTGGACCCATAAATTCAAAATAATGAAAAGGCAAATTGAACTAACCTTGATTCTGAAATTTTGGTAAAATAATTCTAAATTTTGAACTCTTTACTTTTCATAGCTTGTTGGTACCTCGATATGCACCTATTTAGGCATAAACTTGCACACTGGTTCATAAGTTTCAATCGCTGTGCCCCCTCTAAAAGTGTACTGGTGTGTATATCTTTGTCCAAATTGAGAAATCGGTGTAGAAAGTTATTAACGGGTCTCAGATTTGTGCTTACAAGTTGGTATCGGTCTGCAATGCAGTACGAAGTTTCATACAAACTGGTAACAAAAACTTGTGTGCCGACGTGCTCACAACTTTAGAATTGGTCCATAAAGCAGTAGAAGGTTATGAATAGATGCATAACTGTTTTTACCCAAATTTAGACATCTGTGAATTGTAGTTCAAATTGATGCATACTTCTATGTCCAAACATACAAATCTGTGCATATCTTGGCAAATGGATAGTTTAGTCCTTGATGAACCATGAGCATTGAGAGTTCATAGCCTTGCGAATATTTATGGAAAATTCTTATGTCACCCCACTTTGATTATTCATAATTTGGTAATTTAAGGGCTAAAAGCCCATATGTTTGTAGTTTTCCCTTAACTATAAAGTCCCTCCTTATTATAGATAAATTGTAAATATCTTTGTGCTACCCAAACAATATCCGTTTCGGATAAAATGAAATCTAGCAATGTAATAAAAAGAAGGAATATTCTTGGAAGAGGTAGCATATTGGTTGAATTATTTTAAAATTCTTAAATACATGAGAGAATACCTTAATAAAAGCATAGGGCACAAATACCAGAAAGCAAGCCTCTTTCTGACATAATTTTCATTATTTCTTGGTTGTTTTCATTACTTAGCATTCATGATGGATGTACTTCATTAATGAATGTTTTAGGAATTGTTGCCAAAAATCCATATATCTTTATTAATAGTGTTTGAATTTTATGAAATGGAACTGAGTTGTTTTATGCTGCTGGATGTGCAGGCAATTGATTTGGACCCCACTGATGCTATTTTGCTTTCTAATAGAAGCCTTTGTTGGATCCGTTTGGGGCAAGCTGACCATGCTTTAGCCGATGCAAAGGCCTGCAGAGCACTAAGACCGGATTGGCCAAAGGCTTGCTACCGGGAAGGTGCAGCTTTACGTCTATTGCAGGCATGCTCTCATTCTCCTTACACTACATTTGGTATGCAGGAAAAAAATGAAGTGGTAATGGAATAAAAGATTGGAGTCATAATTGATGCAGGAATGGAATGATCATTTCTGTTCCATTGTTTGGTTGCAAACTTGAAATTATGCAAAAATGGAATGATCTCTAATTCTAGTGTTTGGTTAGACTAAATTAACTTCTGGAATAGATAATTGAATGTTGTTACAATATTTTGTCATATAATCTTATAAAATTATTAATAGTACATTATAAAATTGTACTGATGTATTATGATACTAAAGTAAAATATATTATTTAATTATCTTATATAATAATATAATATTTTAATAAATTACGTATCATAATAATTTATTGATTATAGTAATAGATTGATATATATCTACAATATATGTTGATAGGAGTGACTAAAAGAGAAACCAAAATTTGAGAGAAAAATTATTGACACCTATATGTGATAATATAAGAGTCAATAGACTTAGGTGGTATGAACATATACAAATAAGACATATAGATGCACCTGTAACTGAAATTTGCATCGAAGTAAGAGAAAAAGAGGGCAACTGAAATTAACATGGGTTGAAATCATTAAAATGACTTTGAAAAGCTAAATATTATGAGAGAGAACTTGTTGTAGAATAGAATGAAAAAAGAGAGAATTCTTGTGGTCAAATTCATTCATATGGGATTTAAGCAAGGATGATAATGATGGTGATTTAATAGAATAAAAAAATATCATATGATATCAAATAACATTTTATATATATTATAAAATGACAATATAATATTAATTTTTATGTATAGTATATTATTATAATATTTTATTTGATATCATATCATATTGTATTAGATAGATTTTTCATGACTATGGTTTTATGTTTCCACTTCGGTCATATATATATCCATATTTTATGAATATATTTGATGCGGTTAATTTGGTTTATATTATTTTTATTATTATTAAATGGAATGCTCATTCCTTGACTCATAAAGAGGACCGAACATTGTAACATATTGTAGGAATGGACATTCTAAGGAATGGGATTCCAACTTCGCTTTGACTTAACCAAAAGGTGGAACAGAAATGCAGAGTTAGAATGGGCTTTCCATTCTGTGACACCAAATGTATCATTACATTCTACCCCTATAGTTAAAATTAAAACAAAAATGTATTATCTGACATTTCTCTCATCCTCTTTATTGCAGAAATTTGACGAAGCAGCCAACTCTTTTTACGAGGGTGTGCAGCTAGACCCTGAAAATAAGGAGCTTGTAAATGCTTTCAGGTTGTGTGAGAGAATCCTGTCTTCCTCTTTTAACTGCTGCTGCTTTTGGTTTAAAGGGTGGTCTACATATAAACAAGTTAGCCTTGCCAGAGCTTTTCTACATATAAACAATTCATCGGGTCAAAAAGTGCCTTTCATGAAGAGTACCTGGGAGGTTAACTTGTGAACCTACAACATATACATTTCAGACTATATGGGAAATTGATATTTAAATTGATCTAATATGGAATATATTAACCAGGGATTGTAGCCTGATAGTCCTTACCTTCCAAAATAGAAGGTCGAGGGGTCAAGTTCCCATAGGGGCAAAATGGGGGTGTGAGTTTCAAATATGAAAAAAAAAAATAATAAAAAAATGGAACAATCATCCATAGTTAGGAGAGAGACCAAAATAGTAGATTTGCAATTGAAATGACATATGGTGTTACCATTTCTGAGTAGAAGTTCTTTGAAAACAATATGATAATGGACTTTGCTGGCAAACAACATCAATATAAATGGAGGGAACAAGACGTGTTGCCATACCATAATTTTCTGTTCGATGAGCTAAAGTTTATTTGAATTATATCAAGAATCTGCAATTAGTTTTTTTTTTTAAATATTCAACTCAGTTTGCAAGCACTAAATAAAATTGCTTGCGTCATTCTGTGTAATTTCTTGATTTGATTGATAACCTTGTTGTAATTCTTTTAAGCCATATACAAAGAAATTGTGAGTTCCGTTCCTGCACTAGTACTCTGCATTAAACGCTTAGAATACCTGTCTTGGCACAAGCACAAATACTCGGCTTAGGCTATACTGATATTTTCTTCATCCCGGATTTCAAGGATAAAACATTGTGAAATATAATGGGAACCTAAATTCTCTGGACTTAAGCCTAAAGATCCTTAAACCATGAGTGGGACTTGTTATTTTATTTCCTTTTCTGCTTTAGTTCTCATTTCTTGGCTTGCCATCCATGCAGGGAAGCTGTTGAAGCTGGGAGGAAGTTTCATGGTACAGAAAAACAAAAAGCATAGTGGTTCTTTCAACATACAAGAAGAGAGAGTGACCGAACCAATCCTTCGATGACAGCTGTGCAATTTTGTTTAAGTTAATGACATATTGTGGGTTATTTTATGTGTGGCTTAGTCTATTTTCTTTTTCTTAGTAACCCCTGCAAAAACGTGTATAGAACACATATTTTATGAAATTGGGCGGTTAGATGATTATTTTTTAATCAATTTTGTGAATGTGAGTGGTATGTGCTTTCAGTAGAAATTACTTGAACAAATCAAAGCTTGAGATTGTTGAATGTGGCGTTTGTTTTATGCCCATTGTATTGGATGAGCTTTCGCCGAGTTTAGATTTGTGTGAACTCAGACTAAGAGAAATGCATTGAACCTTTGGATATACTGAAGCTTAATGGGTAGTATTCAAAATTGTGTGGGGGATTTAATCAGTTTAGGCCTTGTATTATCTCTTTTATATATATATATATATATATATATATATATATATCATGCCAAGAATGTTAGGGATTAGTAGTTAGAGGGGAGAAGGCTTAAGGCATGAACACGGACTCTCGGACATTGAGAGCAATTTAATCACTCGGGCAATACGGCACTTGAATATATATATATATATATATATATATATATATATATATATATATCAAGCACTTTGTAGTTGTTCAATTTTATTTCATCCATCAATTGATGAGTAAATGATACTGAAAGGATATATTAAATGATGTCATGGTGATATCATGTTTTTACTCTAATAAAAATTACATATCATTATGCTTAATTTATTGGACTAAAAATAAAACAAATAACTTGAACCACATATAGGCCGTTTTTGCTAGAAATGTACTGAACAAAAATAGTGAGACGTATAGCAAATTGATGGTAAAATCAGAACATACATGTGTGATCTGTGGTTGAAAATTTAAATTACACCACTGAAAAAAAAAAATGGTTGACAACTGCATTCCGACTTTTTTTCTTAAAAGATAAATTTCCATTTGTTGTCCTTGATAAATTAATCTGCAATATGCATATCCCTCTGTAGGCTGAAGATGCAATAAAAGACTACAATTAGCTAGGTTGAGAATAGCAAAATAGAAAAGGGTTAAAATCATAAAAATCTTCTCTACTTTCAAAATCGTGCATAAAATTCACAGTATAATTAAAAAAAACCTCTAAACTAAAAGAAGACTTATCAAGTTACCCCCATTCAAGGTATATACATCACATAAATGTTAAAGGCCAACATGTGAATGAAAAATAAGCTATGAAAATGGCATAGATGCATGAAAAGATGGCCGATGAGGCCTCATGCATTGCTACACAACAAGTGCCATATACATAGAATGGCTAGCAAGGGCGAATCCAGGAATTGTTAATTGGGGGGGGGGGGGGGGGGGGGGGGGGGGGCGGGGTGGGCTAATATTAAGGGAGAATTGGGGATCGAAAGGTTAAAGAGTTGGAAAATTTTAAAGGAAATAGGGTTAGATTTTAGAGGGAGAGAAGGAGTGAGTTCTCTGATTTGTGTAAGATTAGGAATTTAGGATTTCTCTGGACTTTTGTTTAGGGCTTGTTTGGCTTAGGCCTATTTGGTTGGGCCTTTGTTTTAAAATTATGACTTAGATATTGGGCTTGTTTGGATGGGTTAAAATTGAGAGGCTAATACTACTACTAATTTTTTTTTTTTTTTTTTTTTTTTAAACATTAGGCTAAATATACCTATACTAAAAAAAAAAAAAATTTTTTTAGGGGGGGCTTAAGCCCACCCAAGCCCCCCCTTGGATCCACCACTGATGGCTAAAGAGAGAAGAAATCACTCCAAAAGTTGGAGATCCCGTGTCATTTCTCTCTTCCAAAAGAATACATACAATCGTCTATTACATAATGTCAAGTCTAGTCACATGAGTTAAATACAACAAAATGCCACACACAGCAAAAATAGAGACCTCCACAGTCTCCATGCCAAGCATCCACAAGCAAGTCACCGCTAAAAGTGTGGAGAATCCTCTAAAGCAACTCCCTCCTGAAAAATAAAGGGGTGAAAACGAATGTTCAGTAAAAAAACATGATATACAACTAAGCTACATTTCTTTGAATTCTACAAACACAAAAGAATGCTAGGCACTGCAACGGGGACATGCTCCCTAACGTCTAATTCTCGAAACATGATAGCCATCATTTTTATAAACAACATCCATGCAACAACATGCTGCAACAAGAAAGAACCTATTTCATCACATATAGGCATATATAAAATGATGAAATACAGAAGTGCCATAAGTTGTAATTATAAACCAAATAACCAACTCAACAACAAAATGATCAAAATCAAGAATGGGGATACCTCGTACATGCCCACACACCTGAACACATTCCCAAGTGGTTCTTCTCGGGTTACTAACCTGCTGATGATAACCTGCTTGGCCAAGTTTGAGGATTTTCAACCCTAAGGGCTATGCCCTCCCTGCTTTTATAACCCCAGTATATCCCAAAATCGCACATTTGTCGCAATATATCACATATATCAACCTTACATTTCAAACGCCTCACAAACGCACATAATTGGATGATACACCAAACAATTCATAACCTAGTATCCATTCTATTATCATGGCATGCTTCTTAATGCAATTGAATTAAATTCAACATCATCTTGAGTTTATATAAGTCGATTATGTCATTTAGGAAATTCATCAAACACATGGGATACATTATGTCAACTAGGATTGTCTACATATGCTTTCAATAGTTCAATATCAATAATGATCTCAACAATAGCCACAATGACGAACAACTATATATATATATATATATATATATATATATATATATATATATAAAAAGAGAGATTTGCATGAAAATTATACACATAGATCATATACATATACATCATGCTTACTACATATACTCATGCTAATAGCTCAAATCTACATCATAAACATGTAATACACAATTTAAAGACATAGAATCTCACACATCAACACATATACATCATAATACACCTAGGTTAAGACATACGTACTCACACTAGCATGCTTCACACCCTCCCATGCTCACAAAACACAAGGAAATCATAAATAAAAGGTATATCACACTTCCTACCTTGATCAAGAGCAAACCCTAGAAAATTCCATCAAGTGTAAATACACCAAATGTAGAATAAAATCATACTCCCTCCGTCTCATATTAGTTGTTTACTTCAAAAATTTTGACTCACAATTTTTATAAGTCAAAGTTATCGAAATAGATCTCTAGGATGGGATATAGGTAGTATATAAGTATATCAAACGAATATGACTAAAAATAACATCAAATGATTCAAAAATAAAAGGTGGTAGTGAATCAAAGTTTTTCAAATTGACAATTATTATGGGACGGAGGTAGTAAAATTGAAGCCCTCATCGTGCTCTATGTTTTACTCTTTTATGCAAGGTCGGATTTATGAATTGTTAATGGGGTGGGCTAATATTTGGTGGAGTAATATTAATAATAATATTATTTTTTTTTTTTTGGGCTGGGCTAAAATTGGTTATAGTAATAAATTTTTTTTTTTTTTGGTGGCCTCGAGCCTACCAAAGCCCACCCTTGGATCCGCCCTTGCTTCAATGGCGTTTCCAAAATCCAATAGGAAGAAGGTCAAAATGAGGCTTGAAGCTTAGATCTCAAATAGAGAAGACGAAGAAGAAGAAGAAGAAGAAGAAAAAGAGAGGGAGGAAGATAGCTGGCCAAATGAGAGAGAGGAGTGATCTCTCACTCGTCGCATGCATATATATTACACACATACCAACTAGTCCAAACTTAGGCCCCACCGTATCCTCTTAATTACCAAAATGTCATGATCAATATCTACACATACATTTACAAATATGTGTCACATTTTAAATCCCCAATATCAAATGTGTCTTTAGATAAATAAATGAATAGTGTCGAAATTAAATCTCGAGCACTTGACTCGTCCCTGGGCCACACAGCCCACATGTCCGACATAAAAGAAAAGTTTTGAAAGCGTTTCTAAGAGTATGTGACTCTAGGAAAGGCTAGTGAAAATCCCGAACAACCCTAAAACACATTCCTCACATATCAAAACATATAAATGCATATGAAGAAAAAACGAAGAAGAAATCTGGTCCTCATAATGAAAGTTGGAGGTTTATTCGATAGAGTGAACAAGAATCATGATGATTATAGCCCTCATATGAAAGCAGTTAGCGCCACCTCGTCGTCCACCTCACCAACTTGCAACATTTCGGTGTTAAACCTACTGATGTAATCTCGCAATAATTCTCCTTTGTCTTATTTACGTTTAACAATTAAGTGGCTAGCTCACTTTGCCTCCGTTCTGTAATGAAGTGCCCTATAAACTGCTTGTTGAGTTTATTAAAGCTATGGATCGACCCTGGCTTCAAGTTGTTAAACCAAACCCGTGTCGACCCCTTCAATATGGTGGAGAAGGCTCTGCACATGATCTACTGATACGACTTGCAGGTGCAAGAGTCCCGCCAAAACTCTCGAGCTGTGATATCTTGAACTTGTTTGGTAGAGGGAGACTAATTGTGACACCTCCTAATTTCCATGTATAAGTTGGCCAAGCTTATACACGAAAATCAGGAAATATCAAAACAATTGATAATATGTAAGCAAAAAATATATACAAGATGATAACAATAAAAGAAATAAAGGCAGAAAGGAAATGATAATAAATAATTAAATCCCAAACATCCATGAATCATATAAACCTTTAAAAACCCATTTATTACAACTCGGGAATCCCGTAAAACAAGGACTCCTAAATCCAAATCCATAATCCAACATTTATAATCTAAAATCCATAAAATCTAGAATAATATAAGATAAGTCCCTACCCTGAAATAATCAGAAGAGTAGATGATGAAGATAATCTCTAGAATGCTGAGTCCTCAAATCTGTGGCTGGAACTGACGTGGATCTAAAATATCAACAAAAAGATGGGTTAAATCTATGAGCAAGTCATCTCTATTACAGCCCAATCAAAGAACCGATAAACCATTTATCTCTAACCAAAACTAACCCGATAATAAATACCCTTAAATGCGTGATATTAAACAAGTATGATATAATAGGAAAGTAGGCAACTAAATGCACAATGTACATTGGGAACTCAACCATGCTTGGGAGTAAATATTCCTATACAAAAATTAAACAGGCAACTCAACCATACCTAAATAAATTGACCATGCCATAAAATTATGGGCTTTGC